TAAGGTGTTTTTCTTCTGTACGAGGAGAGTAAGACACTAAAATGTCTTTTTTTATTATTGGGCTTTCACTGATGAAGGCATGAAGCCGAAAAGTGAAGATACAGTAATATTTCTAAGCCTCTTTTTTTGTTAAGGTAAACTGAGCACCGATTTGTCGACTTGTCTTCTGGTCTGCTTCCTTTTCACTAAAGAGAGGTCTTATTTCTTTGTTGTTTTTTTTTTTCCTTTGAAGCAATCGAGACGCCTTCTGCTCCAACCAAAGCTGCGGCACCCGTGGCAGTCACCAGACAGGACGTGTATGCTGGTAAGGAATACTAACTTGCTCGAGGCGGACTGTTTTAGGGCCTTAAATGTTACCGAAGTTTAGCGAAGACCTCCGGAGATTCCCGAGCAGGAGAAAAATGTCTATCTTGCTTTAATGTCTTAAATGTTGCTTCAGTGGAGGTTTTTGCTCGTTTACTGGAATATGGTTTTTTTTTTTTCCACCCGAGATCTCGATAACCGGGATTGAAATCTTCGCATAAGAACACTACAGCCCTTATTGAGGTGAACATCAAAGCACACGCCTCGTTCCGGTTTATCGTCTTGACCGAGTTCAAATTTCACAAATGAAACGCAGGAACAATTAGTCTAGAGTGCATGCGAAGTGGCCGGAAATTTTTGCGCATGCATCGATTCGGAATCCAGCCCTTTACAATAAGATTATCGCTTCCCTGTTGAAACCAAGTGGTTCAAAACAAAAATTTAAAGTTGTCAACGCATTTTGTCTTTATTTTTTCTTCTTTTATTTCCCTTTTTCACCAGAACAACTGGCTGCTATCCCTCAGTTTTCCAGGCTTGGTCCATTGTTCAGGTCCTCGCCGAAACCTGTAGAACTGACTGAATCTGAGACAGAATACGTTGTAAACTGTGTCAAACACGTCTTCAAGGATCACATCGTCTTTCAGGTGACTTCGGCCGCAAATTAATAACTACAGAGAGAATTTTCAATAGAGTGTCGAAATGAAATCAGAATTTCTATGGGTTTTGCTTTGCTTCGCTCTGGGATTGGTCCAGGAAACTCGCGCCCTCCTCACGACCAATCCAATGAAAGACTAAAATCAATGACGACTTAAGCATTCCGCTTGTGTTTCCTCAAGTTCACATTGGTTATATGCAATATTTTCCGTATTGATTATGATAGTTACTGGGAAAGCGCTCTAACTTGCCCTTCACTCTCGGTTGCATTTTTAAAACTATTTCCAATCGACCTGTAGAGGAATACCCGTATAGAAGTTTGAATAAAAGCAGCGTTTAATCGAGTGTCAACAGTGGTGTGAGATTTCGCGTTTTCCCGCGCTAGAGGCCAGTCACGAAAGTTTACTTTTCGCTCACATTGGCTCCTTCTGAAATTCGCTATCTTTCTGATTCGCCACTGTGATTGGTGTGGTTTTGTCCAACAATACCCAATTATAAATGGGCCTTTCAGCAACACATACCAATTCCTGAAATTTCAAATTGTTTTAGTTTGACTGCACAAATACACTGAATGACCAGATCCTGGAGAATGTCCAGGTGGAAATGGAGCCGAGTGATGGCGAGTTTGAAGTGGTGACCTACGTACCACGTCCGTCGCTTCCTTACAACTCACCTGGGACAACCTACACACTGGTTAAACTCCCTGAAGATGCTTCATCAGGTTTGTTTGAAATGATTCTATCAAGGACCTTTATCGTTCAAGGCCGGGTTGTTCGAAGGTGGGATAAAGTAACCCAGGGCTTTTAAAGAAAATTCAGCACAACTATTTTTGTCCATAATTTGATGACTGGATGTCCTTCAAAGAGTGGAGAAAATTATCCGAGAAAGGCTTTTGGACCAAGGGATAAAGTAACCCGGATTAAAATTTTAACTCTGGGTTAATGCTTATCAGCCTCGGAACAACTGGGCCCAGGACGCCAATGCGGAGAAACACAATTAAAAAAATTAGTTTACATTGTTAGCTAAAATTTGGAAAAAGCCTCTGGTTGTTTACAGTCTCATACGACGCTGCAACTTCAGGGCTCGAAGTTAGCACTCGCAAACTCGCCAAATCCGAGTGGTTACTTGAAGTTGCGAGTCTAGAAAATATCCTTTAGCAAACATTTGCGAGTACCGGTATTTCTTTACATTGATTTAGTTCTCAAATAGAAAATGGCCGCATTGAAAATTAGCTAGTAAGGTTCCTACTTTTGCTAGTAAAAAAAAAATCTTACTAGCAAACCTTTGCTAGTGCACTAAAAACTTCAGTATAACGTGCGCGAGAAGCGTTGTGTCAGAGTTTTACATGGAAACTTAAATAATTTTCAGTCGGGGTTGCCGTTGTAAGACCACGCAACTTTTGTATTTTACGTTGTTGTTTTGCAGAACACGGCGAACAAATGTACAAAGTTTAAAACGCACGTGCTGAGCTACTGTTCTGCCCTTTAGATCTTTTTTATTTTTGCCAAGTCCTCGTTATCGTCGTCGTCATGGTTTGCGTATGGGACGTCTATAACTAATCATAATATAGCTAGAAGATTCGCGCGACATAATTCAATTGTGTTTCATGTTCCCATTGTATTCGCTGAGAACGCTTGTGCAGGCTTTAAAATAAAGCAAAGAGAATTTTCAGTGGTTTTATGTGGCATTTCAAACTGACTTTCTTATTTCTTGTTTTAGTAACTTGCACATTTACAAACACACTGAAATTTGTGGTTAAAGACTGCGATCCAAGCACGGGTGAACCAGATGAAGAAGGCTACGAAGACGAATATGTGGTACGTAGTGGACTGATGTTTTATTTTTGTAACGTTTGAAACATGAAGGTTTTCAGGAATCTCATTGGCTGAAGTGAGTGCGATTTTTGTGCGTAAAATGGCACAGACTCCACTCTCCATGATCGCACAATTTATTAATTAAATCTTCATTGGAGCCTTGAGCTTTTCTTAATATTAAGCATTAGATACCCAAGTTTTGTCCAAGGTCGGTTAAGTGAAGTTGCTAGCTACCGAATCCACGATCAGATTAAAGTGTATTCGGCCTTAAATTGCCCTTCTATCTCTGCCCCCTACCTTACAGAGCAGATGCTTCAGAAAGATCTTGATTTCCAAGCAAAATTTGCTTTTTTGGGGGGGGGGGGGAATAGAGAAAGTTTTTCCCCTACCGCTGCTATAATCATTCGTCCAGCTCAAATAACAGAGGTCGAAATTTTCATCCATGTCCACCCACATTGTAACAATGTTTACCTTACCTCCCCCCCAGCTTGAAGACATTGATGTGCTCGTGGCAGATCACGTACAGCGCGTGCACAAGACAAACTTCCTGGCCTCCTGGGATGAGATTGGTGACGAGTGTGAAATGCAAGACACTTATGCTCTGACTCAGATGACCAGTTTGGAAGGTGAAGTTTTCAATCCTTTCGTTTTCTTGTGTATCCTAAGAAGTATTATAACATAACCAAAGTAAAGCGCACGTTCTGATTGGTCAATTTAGCGTCTCCCATTTGCCCATGGGTGTACGCTGCTGACGTGAGCATATGCAAAGACTAGTTTTCCGCGCGCGCTTGTTTTTTCTGGTCACCTAAGATTTGTTAAATAAAAGGGAACTCGTTAGCTACAATGTATCAATGTTATGTTATAAAACAAATGGTAAACTTGGGAGGTTTGCTAAGCACTCAAGAAGCTAGAGTCGCTCTCGGCTTTCGCCTTGCGCGACTCTTACGCTTCTTTCGTGCTTAGCAACCTCCCGCGTGCATCCATAACTCAATAGTGTACGCTGTGGTGTTTACCATTTGTTAATTATTTGAAAACCAGACCCGATAAAGCAAAATGATCAATTGTGTACGATCGTCTTGCAATTTATTTTAGAGATCACTTCAGCGATGAAATCGACTACAAAGGAATAAATGATCCATATATTGTAATTAACCCTTCGCTTATAGACCGCACTTAATTCGCTGATCAATTCGAAGCTTCAACATACCCCCCTGGCAACCGTGACTGTCCTCTATGCCGCCTGGGGGCTGGGAAATTTGAACCTTGCCTGGGTGGGGTGGGGAATTTGAACCGGAACTGTCAAGTCTTTGAAGCGAAATACACGTGTTTATATTTAACATGGAGGTGTTTTAGCCCACAATACTCAAAATTGTTTTCTGTTCATTTTTCAACAGAAGCTGTCAAACAGATTATCGACTACCTCGGCATGCAGCCATGTGAACGTTCCGATAAGGTCAATTCGGAAAAGAATTCTCACGCCCTGCTATTAGCGGGGGTGTTCCGAGGCGGTCACGACGTCTTGGTCCGAGCCCGACTGGCTTTCGACCATGGAGTGACTATGAACATAACTGTTCGTAGTGACGATCCTGTAGTTAGCGAGGTGGTGTTGTCAGCCGTGGGATAAAATATTTTCTGGTCGTTTGGTTCAGGCTGATTTGACAGTGAATTCAGACATAATGTGTACTAAGCGTTGTAATTAACAGTCTTAGAACCAGCTAAAGGTTTTCGTAGTAAGAAGTCAAAGATTTTTTGAAGATTTCCGAAAAATTAACGGATTGTTTTCTTTTATGATGCAGGGAGAGATATCGGGTGTCAAGGATTTTTTTCCGGTCTGAATTTTTTTTTTTTTTTTTCGGTCTGAATTTTTTTTTTTTTTTTTTGATGCTACAAATTGCAGTAGGGGGTGGTCTGAAAGCTCTGAACACCTCGGTAAATCCTTTAATTCCCACAAGTGACCAAGACAGAATTTCTCCTTACAGCATCAGTACAATATCAAGCAGGCAAGTGACGAGAATATGGAAAATATAAATTAAGGGACAACTGGTTGATTCCATTACCAAATTCTCCAAACTAACATCGTAATAATTGTATGGCAGACAGTAAGGAGAATTCGTAATGGGATCTTGACAGTGAAAGGGCTCTGGGAGAATGGCAAGGTAACAAAATCTATTACTATTGGTTACAATTAAAAAAGGAAAAAAAATTGAGGAGACTTCGTACTTTTTCGGAAATCTTCGTTCTCGTACCCAGCTATCATTGGTACGTTGCCAGTTATGTGATTAGATTTTTCCCTTTTCAGCATGTGTTCAACGCAAAGGGGAAACAATAAAAACGTAATCTATCAAGACTAACTATTAAATCTTATCAAGTTCTGCATTGAATTAATGTGAACAAGCTAAAATGATCTGATGATCTTGTGCGGTGTTTTGTACCCACAACAAATACGGCAACACTTTTAGCCTGTTTAGCGTAGTATTTAATGGGAGTATAGAGTGTTGTGTCCCTCCCGTCCCCCAATTTCCTTGATGTTACAGTTTATAAAAAATTGAATTATGTAGCCCGAGTGTTTTCAACAGTGAATTTTGCCTACACATTACGAATTTGATCCTGAGGAATGTTAAGTTCAGAAAGCCTCTTATTCTAAGCAAGCTTTACTTGAACTGAGGGGGGAGGGGCGGGGTTAAGAGCCTAATTCTCAGCCTTGTGTTGCTTCTTAACGATTAGCTGGATCTAATTTTTGTTGCACTTCAGTTGCCGGGAATGACTAGTAAAGTTAATAACTCCTGTTGCATTTAACTTCTGGTTTGGTTCTTCAAAAAATGAAGAAATGCTCTGGAAGATTAATTTGCTTCACTTCCTTCCCTCCTTTCCACCAGAATTATTTTTGCCAGGGAGAGGCAGTTTTACAATTTCCCACCAACAAGAAGATTACCTTTTGCCGAGGAATAACTGAAACAGACGAACAGCAGCGGTAAATTCACTTTACGGCGAAGCGGAACGGCGTTTCCTGTTCAATGGTTAAGATCAAAGTCAACCATTAGCTAGTATTGAAACAAGTTTCAAGATAAAAAAGAAAAGAATAATGAAAGAAAGAAAGAAACGACTCGGGGCGATGTGTAGGCGACGGGATACGTTATCGTTACCTGGCAACCTCCCCGTCGAAACTGCGGGCTCGGTAAACACAACACGTCTGCCGCGCTGCAAACGGTGAACATATGAAACAACTGACGAACCAGGAAATAACTCTGTTTTAGTCAATTGAAAAAAAAAAAGTTGTTTTGACGCCGTTTTTTCTGAGCATGTGCTATTAAGAGATTACTTCCTTCCGATTGTAGCGTAGATCACCGACATGGCTTTCGCCAAGAAAAAAGACGCTATTTGATTTAATTGACTTCAGGGGAATCCCCTCCACAGCGCGAATCTTTACTCTGACGCCTTTTCCGACAGCTTCTCAAGTACGCGTGAATGAACTTGCGCTACCAATATTTGATTTGATGTGTTTATTTTAGTTTCTGTCATTAGTTAAATTGGAAAACCCAGGTCTGAACCTTACAACTACCTCTTTGATTCACGTGAAAACTTTTTTTCAACCACTTGTGCTGAAAGTAATATAAAACTCGAAAAGGTACAAAGCAAAATTTTCTGTGCATTGGGTCAGCCGCGTGATGCTCTAACGCATAAAAAAACTGGAAGCAGCTCGTAATAAGCTGGATTGTGAAAAGAATTAAGTAGGCAAGCTAGTTCTCAAGACGAAATTGTAACTGGAAAAAAAAAAAGAATGATTTCTATCGATGAATACGTCTTAAACTTTTTGCCAATAATTCTCTCGTCCGGTGTGGCCTTCGATTATAGTCTAACGACGCTTCAGAGCGTTTTATTATTATCATTATTTACCCTAATAATTTACCTATTTTATCTATTTGTTCTACAATTCATTTTGCCATCGTTTTGCTATCGTTTGCCCGTAAACTGGCGAGAAAATGAATAATGCAATTCTGTTTTCTCCTTCCTGCGGTGCGAAAAGCAAAACGTCGGAATATTTTCATCCCAGGAAAATTCATGAGACACCTTTACGAAGTAGCTCTATCTTTTATGAGGCCACTAAAGCTAGTTAAAGTTACGAAATGCTGTTCGTGATCGTCCAAAAATCGGTTTTGAGAAAAAGCGTCTTTCCCAACATAATTCCAAATTGAATATCAGCTAACATTCCATCCTATGTACAATAGTAGATAACAATTTTCACAAAAGTTGTAACTTTCGTATTGTTTTTGTCGACTTTTTCGCTTGGGCTGATAATCTTAACAAACCTAGACGTTTCCCCCAACAAGGCTGGACTTTTAGGGGAATTCTCAGGAGTCAATCAAAATCATCTTTATGAAAAATGATTTTTTCACGTTCAGAATATTTCCAGTTGGAGAAGATAAATATGGATTAGGTGTTTTCGATCGGATCAGTCGAATTGATGACGTCCATAATATGCGATTAAAACCATGCTTATTTTAAGCCTTTGTGGGCTGGAATCATATACGATTGAAAAATAAAATGTTTTTATCATTTTATGCCGTGGTAAACGTCCTTTAGGTGGTAATTAATCGGTATTTTTCCAAGATCGGATAAGACAGGTCGCATGTTTTGCCAAAATTAAAAGTTACATAATCTGCGGGGGCGTCCCTGCGTGGCGGGAAAATATCAGGGGCGAATCTATCCACGAGAGTAACTGGCGCCATCTTCTTCGTTTCGAATTTAACCTTCTGAAAGTTGGATCTCATTTACGGCTTCGTTGTTCGTTTATAGGGATCTTCGAAAATCAGAAGTGTAAGTACGAGACCTCGTCTAATTACTTAGTTGAGCTTTCACCAATAACCAACGTGGACCACGGAGATTTTTGCCTTTGAATGCCTTCCTTTGTTTTCGTACTGCCGGCAGAGTAGTGAAAGCGTTTATTTCGAAGGCTTCAGTTAACAGACGACGAACGGCTTAACTTTGGATACAGAAGGTCTGCTTTCCACGAAATATTTAGAACGATACCAAGCGCTTTTGTTTACGCTTCGAACGTAGGCATACAGAGTGGTTTTAAGTGCTTTTGCGTCGGGTGAACTTAAAGAAATTCAACAACTTCAGTTATCTTGTACGCCATTATCGGTTGGCCATTGTTCGTCAAGCCGGAATTAGTTCTTGCCGTTGCCGCGTTGGTATGAAAACAGTTGCAGTTGAATCGAAAGGGGATCGACGATCTAAGTGGTTGATTTTTACCAGAAAACATTGGTAAGGACGTTTCCCTCGCCAGAGTTGCTTTCATTTTGGGTTTCACTGTTATAACGGCAAAGCGGATTCACCAAACGCTGTCGTGTTCGGTGTCGCCATTTTAAACGAACGGGCTTGGTGTGGTCAGATTGCTTCGTAGTTCACTGCATTTTGAAATCGCTGCCTTTTCTCTTTCGTTGTGAAGACGTCTTTTTATTTCGAAGGGAAAATAAACATATCACACGACCGGAGACTCAGATCGTGCGACGGAATTGGAGGACTTCACTTTTAAAAACTTGGTCTTTGAATGTTGGCGTGCGGGCCGTCTTTACGAGCAAGACATACTGCTGTAAGCGTCTTTTGCGGAAGAATAATCAATTTCCCCAAAGACTTCTCCTAAATTTGTCTTATTGACGAAATATGTTTTGATACAACAAACAAACCATGGTAAACGTGAGAGAACTTATCGACAACCTTCGGGCGACTAAACCGCCATACGAATGTCCTTTATGCCAGAAGATTTACAAGAGTTATAGTGGAATAGAATATCATTTGCGTGTTTTTAAACACGATGGCACTGATGTTGTGGGAACTACTCCGACTACTTCGAAAAAGGGAAAAGGTCGTGGTAGGAAAAGTGTTAAAAACAAGAAACCGCCGCCATCGCCACCAACCTTGAGTGTTCCGAGAGAGACGCTAACTTATGCTCAAGCGCAGAAAATTGTTGAGGTGGAAATCGAAGGTTTTCCTCACAGAATCCACATAAATGATCAATTGGATGTTGTGGATAGTGAGGAAATTTCTCAACCGGAGCCAGAAAAATCAGAGGATGCCTTTGAAACGATGATGATCAAGCCGCTTACCAGTTTAAAATCGAAGAATGATCAGTCTAACGAGAACAATAACAGAATTAGCTTACCGAGTGCGGAGTACAGCGAGAAAATGGAATCGGGGTTCAGACACCCCGATGCACCTACCAGACCGACCGCTTACTTCCGATTTATCGAGCAGACCACGGAAGAACTTGACGAAATGGTAGAATATGATATGGATGAAGAAGATTATGTGTGGTTAGATACGATTAACGACAAGCGAAAAGCTGAAGGAATTGCGCCAGTGTCTCAAGAAATATTTGAAACTCTTATGGACAGATTGGAGAAAGAGTCTTACTTTGAGAGTCAAACTAACTGTGACCCAAACCAGTACATAGATGAAGATGCTGTGTGTTGTATTTGTAACGATGGAGAGTGTCAAAACAGTAACGCAATCCTCTTCTGTGACATGTGTAATTTAGCCGTCCATCAAGAATGTTATGGTGTGCCATACATTCCCGAGGGACAATGGCTGTGCCGTCGATGTCTGCAGTCACCATCTAGAGCTGTGGACTGTGTTCTTTGCCCAAACAAGACTGGTGCTTTTAAACAGACGGACACTGGAAAATGGGGGCATGTTGTATGTGCATTGTGGATTCCTGAGGTTTGTTTTGCAAACACAGTTTTCCTGGAACCTATAGACTCCATTGAAAATATTCCTCAAGCTCGATGGAAGCTCACTTGTTACATCTGTAAGCGTCGACATGGTGCGTGCATCCAGTGTTTTAAAACAAACTGCTATACAGCTTTTCATGTTACATGTGCACAGCAAGCAGGCTTGTACATGAAGATTGAACCGGTGAAAGGTGAAAATGGCCAGGTGACAGTTCGAAAGACAGCTTTTTGCGATGTTCACACACCAACTAACTCTGAAGCAGGAAGAGAGGAGGAGAACAGTGAAGATGAA